CAGCTGCTCTTTCAACTGACGGACCTGTTCCTCCTGTCGGCGAGCCTGCTCCTCCTGTCGGCGAGCCTGCTCCTGCAGCATCACCATCAGAGCACCTAAGTTAGGTGCTGCAGATGTAGGAGCTACCGACGGGCCTGCAGCCGGTGGCTGGCCCTCCGACGTCTGCGACGTTGCACCACCAAATCTTCGTTGGTCCGTCTCCTGCTGGCGTTGACTTCGGGTACGGACACCCTCCGTTTCTTCCTTAGGTAAAATCGGCATGATTTTATCCCACTTCTGACAGCAATTGTTACGAGCTTGAGGTTCGTGACAATAAAAATTGCCGATAAAATTACCTAAATTAACACTTTAATTTACTTTACCTAAATTAAAACTTAAAACACTAATAATTAAACACACTAATTCACTTTATTCCGCTCCGAAGCTTCGCTTGTCTCGCCAAATCCAATACTTCCCCGATCGCATCTTGCAGCGCCTATATATACAAATTAGCAATGAAGCATCCGGAATATTCAAGTAAATGCGCGCAAAGCGACGAGTGTTCGAGTGTAGATTTTCTATAAATTTAGTTCTTTGGATGGCGCTGTCGGTAAAGATTTGTGATGTCATTTTCTGCAAAGCTCCCCTCGCTCTCGTTCCTGACACTAGATGGCGCTAGTGTATGACGTTGAGCGCGTAACAATACGAAGCATGTACGGAAAAGAAAAGAAAAAACATGAGAGTAAATACAAGAGCATGGATTCGTGAAGGCTAGTATCGTCAATATACGAACTGTATCAAAAAATGATGAGAAAAAATATCTGGACAACCCTGAGGATATCACACACCTTTCTTTAAGGAAGTAGCATTACGGACATTTATTGATTTAGACCTGAACAAAGATCGGTATGGAACATTTCGAGTTTGTTTGTGCGGGCAAAAACTGCGCAGTGTTTCTTTCTTGTCCAACCTTAGCCGATGCAAAAAAGATAAGTTATTCACCTAATTCGAGCATTACTATTACTAATATAAGTGCAAAGTGAATGTGCAGGACTTGTTGGATCATACTATGGCACATATATTATTAATTGATTCGGTTTACTCGAGGGCGTACGAACGTACATCGGCATGCGCTCCTGCAGCCGCTCGCAACTGCTGCCTGGCGCGCACGAGCTCATCTTCTGCGGGATAGCTGGCTCGTTACCCACACCCCATAAAACCTTCAACGAGTGTGTGGCCGGCGATACTTCCACTGTATCTTCGATACCGCCGTACCGAGGACAAACAGACCAGGATACAGTAGCAGATAACCCGAATACACCCCATATAATTTAAGTTTAAGCAAACTTGCTTTGAACACTTTTCAACATAGTAAGTCTATGTTGAAAAGTGTTCAAAGCACACAACTTATATTTCATTTGGAGCTCAAATGACAGATTTCCACTTTAAATGATTTTTAGCATCGCTTCATACAAGGCCTTCATTGTGATAACGATATGTCTTCGTGCAGACTCCAGTAATGTGTTCTCTAAATTTATTAAAAAAAAATTAGTTGTCAGTCAATCAGTCCCCCGTGACCATGGGTGCTGGAAAGCACCCGAAACGTCGGTAATTGAAAATAAAGTAAATAAAACGCGATAAAATCCGTAAAAGTAGTTTTTAATCAAGGTATAGTGTTCGTGTAAATATAAGAAATCATTATGTGTTCTCTAAACTTTAAATCGTTTGTAAAATGAATCAGATCTTTCACTTTTATCATTCGCTGCAGCTGCTCTCACTCATGACATGGTGCGGGTGGTGGGCGACACATGTGCTCGGCTCAACGGCAATGTTGGACGTCTGCTCACGTTAAAATAAAGCTTAATAACCCGGCTCCACTTCATGAGCTCAATTATATTCTGCTATAATCTATTATGGTTTCAGATGTCTCTTATTACGATAACTAATTTTAAGTTATCAGCAAATAAAAGACATGTTGATTCCTTGATGACTTATGGTAAGTTTTTTATTATAATGATGAAATCCATGGAATTCAAATTACTTCCTTGACTGACCCCTGATGTTGTAAAGTTGCTCACAATAGTAACCATCACAATCAATGTACTGCCGTCTGTCTCGTAAGTAGCTAACGAAGAGTTTCTACGTATGTGGAGTGCAGCCTATTCCGACCAAATGCGCGATCAGGATGTCAGAACCAACCGTGACAATTGTCTTCCGAAAATACAAATAGCTCATATCAACCTGTATCCCTACATCAACTGCTAGAACTGTTTGTGACATTAAATGTAGGAAGGAGTTCCCCCTTATAATCCGACCAGAGCGGAAACCATGTAGCGCGTGGATAACAGAGTTTTACCTGCATATGCAAGCAATGGTGAATGGTCGATTCGAATACTTTGGCTGGTGTGCACAATGTCGCTGCTGGTCCTGTAGGCACTAGGTTTCGAACCTCCACGAACTTTCGGGAATCCGGCGGCAGGCCGCGCTCGCTGCTGCCGCGCCCAGTGCGCCCGCTCGTCGGTTGTACACGGAATGAAAAAATACTGCAAATTTGTCACCACATTCCCGATTCGATATCACTCGTCTTTAATAATTAATAAAAAATTTAATTTATTGATTATTAAAGTCTAAATAATTAATAAATTAAATTATCTTGGGAAACGTTTTTAAACCTCACGTAGTTCTAAAACGTTTATGTCCGTTGCCAAGCGGCTCTGTGCGCGATTTTGATAACTTTCGTGAGCGAGTACGATCTCTGCCTTTACTTTTGCTCTACACTGAGCGAACGCTTCATAATCACTACGTAATTTACTTTTTTATATTTTTTTATAACAAACATACTTTGTTTTAATATTTTTATAACTTCCGATGTATTACTTACAATATGTGGTAAGTATGCCTAGCATCTTTAGGTTTTTCCTTTTTAAAGGGTCAAAAAATTCACTTATCTTATTATAAAATAAAATAAAATAAAATATATTTTAGTGTATATAAACAACTTGCCTGTTATACAGAGATACGGCTTGGGTCTTTATATCGATAACAATAACTTAAAATTAGAGACATTCAGGTTTTATTTTGTTTCTTTATGTTTAGGCAAATTAATGAAGTGGTCTTGATATATGAATACTTATTTTTTTAAATATTCAGTCAGCAAGATAAATCTAAGCTACACATTTATTTAACAGTACGAGAGGTGATCCAAAAGTAATGATAATGAAAATAAAACGCGGTAATTAAAGTTAAAATAATAATTTATTTTTCTACATAGTATCCTAACAAATCAATACATTTAGGCCATCTTTTTTCTAAACCCAGTATTCCCTTTGAAAAAAAATTCTTTGTCTTGACCCTCCCAAAACGCTTCAACAGCGGCCATTACTTCGCTATCGTCTTCGAATTTCTTGCCTCGGAGGCGTTCCTTGAGCCGAGGAAAGAGGTAGAAGTCACTAGGAGCTAGATCTGGCGAATAGAGAGGGTGTTCGAGCAGTTCGAATCCTGTTTCTTGAATGGCAGCCATCGCAACTGCGGCTTTGTGAGCCGGTGCGTTGTCTTGGTGAAACAGCACTCCAGCTCGCAGTTTGCCGCGTCTTTTTTCCTTAATGGTCTCCCGTAATCTTTTTATTTGGTCTGCATAGTAAGAGCCCGTAATAGTGGCTCCCTTTTCCAAATACTCCACCATAATTATGCCTTGAGCGTCATCATCGCCACAAAACAGATGCCATAACCTTTCCCGCCGAACTTGAAACTTTGAATTTCTTTGGCGTCGGTGAGGAGGCTCGCTTCCAAGTCATCGATTGTTGTTTCGTTTCAGGATGAAAATGGTGGATCCAGGTCTCGTCCATAGTCACGAAATGGAACAAAACATTTTCTTGATCTGCTTGGAACTTTTCGAGATTGACCCTCGAAATGTCAACTCGATTTTTCTTTTGCTCGTCGGTTAACATTCTGGGTACCCAACGCGCAGAGACCTTTTTCATATGCAACTCGTTCGCAAGGATTCTTTGAACGCTGCCATATGAGATCCCTGTGACCTCAGCTATATGCCTGATGGTCACTCTTCGATCTGCCAACACAACATCTTCGACTTTTTTCACGTTGTCTTCAGTGAGGGACGTGGATGGGCGTCCTTCGCGATGTAAATCTTCAGTGGATGTTCTGCCCAGTTTAAACTCTTTGGCCCAGAGTGCAACTGTAGAATATGGCAGAGTCCCCCAATGTTTCCACTAAGTCGCTGTGTATGTCTTTTGAAGACATTTTTTTCAAACAGAGGTACGTGATGACAGCTTTAATTTCGTTTTTCTCCATGTTGATGTTATCTCTTTGACAGTTCGTATTCAAATGAATGTATATCCCGGAAATCCTGATCTATTTATACGATTTTTTTAGGCTGACGTAGTGATTTATATAAGCAAGCAAAAAATATTTTTTTTTTTTTGGATTTTTATGCGGACCTGAAGTAACCGATTATCATTACTTTTGGATCACCCCTCGTACATTATATTTTTGTCGGCCACAACAACACCATCTGTAATACCTAGTTAGCAACTAAATCAAGGATTATATCATAAAACCAGTATATATTTAATCAACTTCGTAATGTTTGCGTAATAAATACATGGTAGAGCCACTCTGCAGCTGTATTATAGTTGTAACATGAATGGATCGACTCGACTAGAGAAGGGTTACGCTCTCACAGGATAGCAGCGTAAAATAGCAGCTCAATACTGTTCTGTTATTAAAAAACGGAAACTACTGGTGAAAATAGAAAAACAAAAACGCTTGTTACTGGAATCGAGGCATTCTATCTTAGTCCTCAGGAGTGACAGCGCATCTGCATTGTGATTCTTAATTAAGGGCAGAACAGATATAGATATCCATGGGCCACAGCATCCACTTACTATCAGGCTGGACTGTGTGCTCTTTTATCTCCCTTATTCTTAAAAAAACACTTGATAGTAGTAGTGCTAGTAGCGGCACGTAGTGGTGGCAAAAGATTGAGTCTGGTCGCGTATCGGCAGGTGTCGCAGTTCGGCAAGACGGTGTGTCTGTCTGGCTTCATGGGGCTGGACATCCCGCCCCCCAACGGGCCGCTGTGGATCCTGGGCGACGTGTTCATCGGCAAGTACTACACCGAGTTTGACGTCGCCAACCAGCGCCTGGGCTTCGCGCCCGCAGTGTAGCCGCAGCAACACTACCAGCAGTACTAACACCACGCCATCCTTACACGATCAACCCTTGTCTTGTAATAACAAACTTACACATTCACCCAAATTGTACTCGAAATATTGTACATTTATCAATACTAATTAAGAGTTAAATTCATACTGCTAAAGAAGCCCAATAGTTAAGACCGTAATTTAAAAAATCCGGCAGCATAAAAAGTTTACTGAACTGTCACGAATCTAAAGACACGTCATATGTTAAAATCCTGTTTAGGCTACGGAGCGTGCCAAAGAAATTGATATACATACATACTCTCGAAAAACATTACTCACCTTCTGGGGCATTCGGTTAAATAGTGATTTAATACATTTTTCATTATTAAGGGCAGAACCCCAAGTTACATTGTGTTCGAAGACTTGCCACTTGGTCTGACGTTGAGGTTGGAATTCTGCAAGTTTGTTTCAAGACTCGATAAGTTTGGCAAAGATTTAATAACAATAATAACAAGTGTGTGTTGGTTTGTTATTTGCTGCAGACACGTCGCCAGATGTTTTGTAATCACACAGTGCTTTTGTAGTTATGATTAATTTTTAATTCGTTTTTGTTATTTACATTTATTTACAACCTAGTGCGATAAAGACAGTAGATATGTTTAATGGAACATAAGAATCTTTAAACCATACCCAAATATTCAGAGATTCACAAAATATTTGGCACCATAACAAATATTGTTATTGACAAAATTACATCGCCCCGTTTTCAGAAACATCATAATGCAACAACATGCGTTTCTCTATTCATTGGAATTGAACTTCATGTTTCTTTTCGCTAACTTGTGTACAGTACCTACTCATTGTAACTACAATACATAATGTTCTGTGTCGTACACATCAACAACCGATTGTATCATTTATACGATTTGTTTATTTTGTATTTCGAGACTCATGACTTAAGATGTATCGAACTCATTGACTGCAAATTGCTCTCTACTCGTTCAGCTTATATACTTTCTAATACAACTGCTTGAAGTAATATTGTAAAATTTAGTAAATACATAATATTTGTAGCAAAGAAACTAATTCCTTACTTTATAATAATACTTTAATACAATAAATGTTTCAAAATACATGTTTTGTTTTATTTGTAATAAACTAGTCATTACCCCTTTTTCATAAACATTTTATCAGTAAATTGACTAAAAATATAATAAAGGGTACGGTAGTGCACAGGACCAAGGGTTACCTCAATCAATTTGAATGAAACACGTGCAGAAATAATATACGCGTTATGTTCTTCTGTGTTCCTTTTGCGAAACCGTATCAGTTCCTTAATCAGGTTTGTTTTTAAAACAAATTCTGACCTTGGGTATTTGTTTACCATAACACGTATTTCTGGCTGCATATTATGCAAGTACCTAGGTGACTAAGTTTACTCAGCGTTAGAAAAAAATACTCTCAAGGATTACACCTATCTAGAATAATGGTATTTTGTGAGAGCGTGGAGCGTTGTGCCTGCTCCGGTCTAGCCATGGGTCGGTCGTGGTATAACCACAATATAGCTACTTATATAGTACGGCTATACCACAGAAACATGGAAACTTTGTCTCAGAGCTACGTGGGTAGAAGTAATTTAATATGAAAGTTATTTGTTTCGTTCAATCCACACCGCCTTGTTTACATGCGGCAGCAAATGGACTGATGGCGGAAAATCAAAAAGCTGAACTCAAATTTCACAGACCAACAACAAGAGGTTGTCGAACTACGGAGAACCGGTTTATGGCCATGGTCTGTTGAAGTCTTTTAAGCAATGTTATTTTAGAAAAGAGATTTTATGTTTTCATAGAGATAACACTGGTTCCCACTCAAGCACGGCCCTACTTTACATTTTTCTCGATAAAAACAAATACAACAAGAGTGGTAATAATTGCTGGATTCATTTTGGAACTAAACTATGAACAAAAGATACGAGGTAGCGACTTGTTTACAAGCAGATGCATGCAGTGGGCGAATCATTTTTATAAGTGCCAGTTTTCGAGTGAATATCAAGCATTTTGTGATGTGTTCGTAAAAATACTATTATATTATTAATACAATAAATATTTACTTTTTATTGTAAACAACTTTGAACAAAAACAGCCTACAGCAGGTCACGGATGCCTTGTCACACACTGGAGACCAAAAATTGAATACCTTACAAGCTTACAGTCTATTATTATATTGATTCCACATACTTTTGATCGCAATACAGCAATGCACTTAGCGGTTGAATAAGCTGCTACCTGGCCAGATGTATTCCCTAAATGCTAAACAGTCGGTTAACCTTTCAGCTGCGGAAACTCTAACCGTCATACTCCGTTGACTGCGGAACTGTTTAATAATAAAATTGACGGCTCATTGGCCGCAATCCGTTTAAACGAAAATTTCTTGATTTTGGTATATCAAATACTATGATATATATACATTTCTGAATTCTCTATGAAATTTCCTATAAACGAGTACATAAATTAAATAAAGTCCCAAAGTAATATTGAGTAAAAGCAAAATTGTCATATTTCTTGATGAAATAAAGTTTTTTAATACTTCGATTTTATTTTAATTTAATTTTAAATCTATTGTTTACAATATTTTATGCGCAAAATCATAGGCTACAATACAATTTTTTATCATAAAACGCATTAATAATAAGCTTACAAGAACCAACAATCAACTTACACCGATGTAGAATGTTCGGACGAGATGCGGCATTAATGCATTGGTCAATAAAATTAACACTAGTTTTTTTTTATTTCATTAAAAATATATACTTAAATGCATGAAGAAACATGTGGTTTTATTTCCGGGACTAGTTGAACCTCTCTTTTTCTATATATTTATTGAAAAATTAATTACTTTATTTGAGCAAACAATTTTCAACAGCACTTGTAGAGAAATAAAGATTCATTCATTCCCTTAAAAGCCATAAAACCACTCAAGGGTCACTCCCGCGGATGTAGCGTCTAAAATAACGGTTTTTGTAAACAATACTCAATGCGCCATAATAGTGTCGAGTGACAAAGCCGTTCAGAGGCGCCGCGGGGTGCGCGGCGGTTATATTATATTTCCAATAACTAAAATAATATCTACGAAATAATAACATTTAAAATAAACATATCTCTTCCTGAAATAAAAAAATATATTATGGATATGATATATTTTTAAAGAACCCACTTCTTATGCTCCAAAAATATGCCACAATTAAAGTCCGATTTTGCACTTTTTGTGCATTATGTACTAGTTCATTAAAACATTTTTATACGTGGTAGAGCCATGCTGCAGTTATATTAGTAGTATAGTTGTTGCACGAATGGGTCGAGGACCGGGGAAGGACCACGCTCTCACAGAATACCAGCGTGAAATATTAGCTTAATGCTGGCTGTGTTTCGTATGGTGAGTGTAGAGAATCGGAGACCCTTTTTACTGGAAACCAGGCATTCCATCTTAGTCCTCACGGGTGACAACGCATCTGCATTTTCATTTGTAATCGAGGATAGATGTAGATATCTATGGGCCGCAGCAACCACTTACAATCAGATGGACTGTGTGCTTGTTTGTCACCATATTCTATAGAAAACATACAAAATAAAAAGGTGCATTCATTTCAACGATGAGAACCGTGGTGGCTCCCCGGTACATCATGGTGGAGCCCCGGTAGCTCAGATGGTTAGCTCTCGCGTGAAATTTCACAGTACGCTAGCAAACCGGGTTCGATCCCCGCTGGCGTCAATGAAATTGTTAATTGCAATTTTAAGTGCTGATCTACCACGTGTTCGGCGGTGAAGGAAAATATCGTAAGGAAGTCTGACTGTCTGAGAAATAAGAAAAAAATATTTTGAAGACATGTGAAGTTCGCCAACACGCATAGGGGCAGCGCGGCGGACACTTCTTTGCCCTAAAACCCTCTCAGAAATGAGGTAAGGCCCAGCAATGGAACGTAAATAGGCTGTAACTTAACTATTTCAACGATGATAGTCTGAAATAATCAGCTGAACAACTTATAGCTAGGCAACAATAAAACTAAATGGATGGATGGACATAAGTATAAAATTTAATAAATATATAACATGGGTACTCATTTATTTAAAAGGCTCCTGGTAGGATTTACTGTATCTACAGTACAATTCATTTACGAATGGTACTGTAGGTATCAGCAATCTTGCTCTAGGTTGAAACATATCGCAACGTTACACGATTTGAAAAACTGAAACGTACTGTTACATCCCTATTTACACTGTCACAGTGCATCCAGATAAAACGTACATTTAAAAAAACGATATAAGAAACATGTGTCTGAGGTGACCTTAAAAACCACAACCTGTTTATATTAGAATAAAAAAATATTACAAATATTAAATATTATGAGGAAATATAATCTCAAATGGCTTAGCAAGATCCTCCGTTATGCCGAAAGTATTGTAGCATTAATTTTGAAATAAATATATGGTAAAGTTGAGGATTAATGTTAAGGACTATGTTAGACGAAAACACGATTCTGTAAAATTTTCTCGCTAGAAAAAAAATCCAAAGTTACCTCCAAACTGAACAATAAACCGCTGTTATTCATAAAATACTTTAAATAAAATCATGAAACTTTGCATACTAACTGAAATAACTATAAAGCAGTGCTTATGTTATTTACTTTTTTTTAAATACCATTATTTTCACTGTAAAAAGAAATTACCCAAACTATCGGCGTCTTGAAGCTTGATTCCTGTCGCCCGGTTAGTATCGCTTAGGCTTTTGAAGGGGGAAGTTGTGTCGCTTACGATCAGAATACACATTACGCAACAGGACGACGTAAAATTAAAATGGGAAATAACCGTGATAATAATAAAAAGCGACTGGGTTGGCGTTAAGAAACGGGCATAAATATGATAAACCTAATGAAATAAGTATCTAACGACCTATCTACTTACAGTATTAGTGATTACAAACATGTCGGTACATAGCATATGACGCGGGGGAAGTAGGGGGCGAAATTA